AAACGCAAACATTGATGAGTTTTACAGATCATCCAGCTGGACTGAAAAACAATCGGAAGGCATTTCAGCACCATTTGAAGAAAACATTCAAAAAGACGGGGAGGACGCAAGAATCGACGAGGATGTCAAAACGTTTCCGGGAAATCTTTAATTACGATATTACTGCGTTTGGGAGTCATCCCGCTCGATTTGAATTCGTCGGGAGAGAGGCATTAAGGGAATTTTCATTAAACATGTCGGCTTTTAATATAGTCGGCGCTCGCTATTACGAAATTCAAGCGAAGGCCGTTTTATCAATCGTTATAATGCATTTTTAAAAAACTTAATAAAGGAATCTTGAAGAAAAACCTGAATAAATTTTCAATATATCACAAGCTGAAGTAGAAAAAAAGTAGTGCATACCGTAGAATGTTGCTTTGGGTATGGGCATGACTAATTGAAGCGCGCCAAAATTGATAGGCTGCACACGCAGGTAGGTAATGGGTATACCGCTACAATTAGATCTAGAGCGAAATATGCAGGGGAAATACCTCTTTTAACCCCTTCAGCACCAGAAATTCTCGGGCTTCCCTCATAGCAAGTCATAAAAATTCCAATGAAGGGGTTAAACGTCTCGAGATCCAGGAGTCCTGTCTCAGAGCCTCACGTGCACCATCGGATAAGCCTCGACAACGACGCATTCACGCTCGGAGTCGACACTTCTGAGACTCGTTTGGTACGGATGCGGCGGGGGCAGAGTGCGCCCGGTGGATGAGCCGGTGAATCGTCTCGAGTCTTCGCCCGTCGTGAACGGATCGCAGTGTCCCAAGGCGCAACTGCGACAGACTTTCAGGAAGGTTCGGCGGTAGCGGCCGCTCAGGGCGCAGTAGAGAAGGAAATTTGTGGCGGCGTTAACCGCCATGAGGAAGTTGAAGACGTTCCCGCAGATCCTGAGGACGTAATCGCCACGAGTCTCGGGATACCCTACTACCTTGCACCTCATCTACTCCTGGTTCCGCCAGCCTGAGACCGTCTCCTCTTTGTCCTGCCTGTGCCGCTACTCGTACTGCCACTGTGCCAAGAGCGCTTAGTAAAGACGGCTCCTGTGACCCATGAGGAGCGCTCGCTGACGGGAGCTCCAATGAACGTGGTAGATGAGGAGGATGTTGAAGACAAGAAGAAGAGTCAGAGGAACCAAGATAAACACGGTCGCGGTGAACCAATAGAATCCCTTCCGGTATCTGCAGTAGTGAACCAGAAGCATTTCCATCAGCATAGAGCAACAAACCAGAATGAAATTCGAAAGAAAAATGCATGAGATGAATGACGTTTGAATTCGGTCATTCCGAATACGAACGCAAATTGCGCAATGTGAGAAATATATGCATCCTCTTTGATCCCTCCATTTTTTTTTTGGTTATTGGTATGTGTTAAAAGAATTGTTTTTGCATTTTATCCATAACATTTTCCTATTGACTCAAGAATTTTAAATCATTATTGGGGCCGGCTTTATTTTGTATATATAGCGTTGCTTGATAGACTCATTTGGAAATGCTAATAACCCTTTCACAGGCAGGGTATACACTTGAGGTCATATTGCAAAAATTTTTCTTTCACCACCTTACCGATAGTGATCACTGAAAACACCACCTATAGTTATTACCGAGAAGCCGCTTATCGTACAATATTTATAACTCATGAGGCCTCATGAACCTTAACAACTTTCTCGTGAGAACTAGTAAATCCCTCATGATTACCTCATGAGACTGGAATATGAATTCCCATCACATGGAACATGTGTTAGGAACCTGCGGATGTACTGAGAACGTTCTGCAGGGTTCTATGTCACTTCGACTGGACGCTTCTTCGAACGGACCGTTCTTTGATTGGACGTTTCTTTGAAAGGCTTTCGGGATGCGAATATCAACACTTTAAAATGCAAAAAACCTTGGTCAAAGTCCAGTCAGAGGAACGTTCTGGTGGAAGAACTTATATGGAGTATGTCACAGTCAAGGATACATTATCGCGTGATTAATTGCCACATGGAAGATTTAACATCAACGCCATCTGACGAAAGCCTGTCAAAGAATGGTCCGGTGGAAGAAGTGGCGGAGAAGAAGTGTACGTCGAAAAACTGTCTTTCGAAGAAGTGACATTGGACCGTCCTGCAGTGGATACTCGAAAATGTCCACTACAGGATACACTTCAAAAGTTGCCTTACATGTTAATCCTCCAGCATCAGCAGATCCTCAGGAAATCATTCAGACATCCCTTGCGGTAGGAACATATCGATGAAACACGATCCCAGGAAGAATTCAGCAAAAATCTGAGATACCATCCGTAATTACGTGAATCCCGGACATCCCAGTGTCCTGTCCCGCGGATGGCATTCGGATAGCTCTCTGAGATGTCCCATGAGAATCTTTTACAGAGAGCCCAAGATGCTCCGTTAAATACCATAACTAACAAGACATGACCCTTAGATAGCTGCTGTGGCAAGTCTGTCCCTGCTCCCACTGGAGAATGTCGCATGTACTTCCTTACGGCAGCGTTTCTCATCCTTTCGAAACGTTGCATGGGAAAGATCTGTCCCTCTGCACCCGCCGTGGGGCAGTATAGGTACTCGTTTTAGTAATACTTTCGTTATCGTTATCATAGTCGGATTGGTCCTGGTGACTTATGTAAGTACTGTGGTTTATTTCGATTTCTCTATAGCTAATTAATCGGTTCAAAGCAAAAAGTTTTCATACTTTCTGATTTTCCTTCCCCCCACCGCAATACCCCTTACCTTTGGTTGCCCTAAAAATCTAGATGCGGCTAAAATTTTGAAGTGCGTTTACTGCGACATTGTAATGCTTAGACAGTGCATTAACGTTTATTTTAATTCGAAGAATAAGAAACCATAGGCATACATATCTGGTAGCAAAAATGAATCTATATCTTTGTTGCAGCAACAACATTGATCTCATTGATCTGACAGCTCATTAATGTTACGTTGTCATCAACCTGTCATAACGTCGAAAGGGGCTTGAGCTATCAGTGGCGGACCTAGCTGTTCCTGGCATCCGTCAAGCGTCTTATGAAGATTTATACAATCATTTATGCGTGATGCCCCCCAACGGGAGCTTCGCGCCAGTGTCTGGCGGAGGGATCAAAGGGAATTCATCATCTCCCCTCAAGCCTCTCATTCTACCTATCGTAAATTGATGAGGAAAGTCCTAATTCTCACGTCGTTCCAACTTGGCCTATCTGATATGTAGGTGTCTCTTGCGGTTCTTTCTATAGCCTTAAGGTTCTATTTAAACGGGGGAGAGTTAGCTCGGTTCAGGGATATTCCAGGCTAATTTTTCGAACAAAATGGAGTGACGGAGGGAGATTTTTTTAAATTATCACCGTTGAAGTTCGGCATCCTATTCGTATTACTTTTTAATCGACAGTAGCGATCTCTCAATCTGAGTCTCTAGGGACTTGCCCTGGCTCACGATCATTTATGGATGCTCGTAAAAGCCATTAAATGGATTAGATTAAATGCCGTCAGCCTCTTGATATCGGCCTCATTAGCCATCACGAGACCTCTGTCATAAGGTTTTTCTCAATTTTTTTCAGCAAGGTATTCTAGCTCCCATCTAGCGGAAAATTTGAAAGTTACGAGGGGAGGTCAAAAAGTTCCGCAACCAAGTCACTTCCAGTTGTTATGCACAATTCTTACTCTTACCATGAGAAGACAGATAAATGAGATAAGAGACGAGAAGGGTCAGTTGGATTCTATCCTTTCGGTCAAGGAAAGATCTACTGGTTGGTCTGCTCCTTATAGGTTATAAAATTCCTCTCAATTTTAATACCCATTCAGCATTCCCTTCGGTAGCACTTGAAAAAAATTAATACACTGGCCTCCAAAAGTGAGTCAATGGGTCGGGTTTTCGTGTTTAACCCAAAATATCTCTTTCAATATTCAACCAAATCAATTGCAATTCATGTCAATTGTAGTCCTATTGTATAGCTTTAATTAAAACACGGTCGCGGTGAACCAATAGAATCCCTTCCGGTATCTGCAGTAGTGAACCAGAAGCATTTCCATCAGCATAGAGCAACAAACCAGAATGAAATTCGAAAGAAAAATGCATGAGATGAATGACATTTAAATTCGGTCATTCCGAATACGAACGCAAATCGCGCAATGTGAGAAATATATGCATCCTCTTTGATCCCTCCATTTTTTTTTGGTTATTGGTATGTGTTAAAAGAATTGCTTTTGCATTTTATCCATAAAATTTTCCTATTGACGCAATAATTTTAAATCATTATTGGGGCCGGCTTTATTTTGTAAATATAACGTTGCCTGATATTAGCATTTGAAAATGCTAATAACCCTTTCACAGGCAGAGTACAGTATACACTTGAGGTCATATTACAAGCATTTTTCTTTCGCCACCTTACCGATAGTGATCACTGAAAACACCACCTATAGTTATTACCGAGAAGCCGCTTATCATACCATATTTATAACTCATGAGGCCTCATGAACCTTGACAACTTTCTCATGAGAACTTGTAAATCCCTCATGATTACCTCATGAGACTGGAGTGTGATGAAGGCAGTGTTGAGAGGCACGATTGAATGTCCTGGGTTCGGTGGTGTAATGGTAGCACACCTGACCGGCAATCAGGAGGCCCGGGTTCAAAGATGGCGTTGATGTTAAATCTTCCACGTGGCAATTATTCACGCGATAATGCATCGTTGACTGTGACATACTCCATATTAGTTCCTCACGTGACAGGAGTATGAATTCACATCACATGGAACATGTGTTAGGAACCTGCGGATGTCCTGAGAACGTTCTGCAGGGTTCTATGTCACTTCGACTGGACGCTTCTTCGAAGGACCGTTCTTCGATTAGACGTTTCTTTGAAAGGCTTCTGGCAGGTGAATATCAACACTTTAAAATGCAAAAACCTTAGACGAAGTCCAGTCAGAGGAGCGTTCTGGTGGAGGAACTAATATGGAGTATGTCACAGTCAACGATGCATTATCGCGTGAATAATTGCCACGTGGAAGATTTAACATCAACGCCATCTGACGAAAGCCTGTCAAAGAAAGGTCCGGTGGAAGAAGTGGCGGAGAAGAAGTGTACGTCGAAAAACCGTCTTTCGAAGAAGTGACATTGGACCGTCCTGCAGTGGATACTCGAAAATGTCCACTGCAAGTGCACTTCAGAAGTTGCCTTACATGTTATTCCGCCAGCATCAGCAGATCCTCAGGAAGTCATTCAGACATCCCTTGCGGTAGTAACATATCTATGAAACACGATCCCTGGAATAATTCAGCAAAAATCTGAGATACCATCCGTAATTACGCGAATCCCGGACATCCCAGTGTCCTGTCCCGCGGATGGCATTCGGATAGCTCTCGGAGATGTCCCATGGGTATCTTTTACAGAGTGCCCAAGATGCTCCGTTAAATACCATAACTAACAATACATGACCCTTAGATAGCTGCTGTGGCAAGTCTGTCCCTGATCCCACTGGAGAATGTCCCATATACTTCCCTTACGGCAGCGTTTCTCATCCTTTTCTTTGCAACGTACCCTTTCTAGACAGGGAGACGTGGGCGGCACCCCGTCATATCCATGAGCAAAATCATTATGAAAGCAATAGCAATAGTATCAGCCTAACCAGGACCACTGAATACATTCATGACAAGATTCCTCCAGTGAGTCGGGGTATAGTGATTCCTTAGGGAGGGAGATATCGCATAAATTCGAGCACTTGGAGATGTCATCGACATGTCTTGATTGCCCACAGGAGTATGAAGAAGTTCCTTTGGAAGCCCCAATTGAATTTCTCGAAACTGGAACATCCCAGACTATAATTTTATGTTCCATTGCCGATATGAAGAAGTTCTATATCGGACAAGAATGACTTACTTTTGTGATAAATTCTCATATAAAAAGGTGGATCTACCATATACAATTCTCTGCTTTCCACGAGTAGTGCACATTAGAGGTAGGGTTGCCAAATGCTTATAATACTCTTCTTCGGAAAAGACTTGCATATGGATGAAGGAATGTCAATGCCAGTCTCTGTCAGAGGCTGGAATGTGATGGATGTGCGCGCTCTCACGAGTAATTTAATCGATCGTATGTGCCGTTGAATTAATGATATTATATAATGAATTCTTCGAATTCCTGGAACCAGACGTTGAGTGGAATTCGCCTCATCCATTGATTAGCGGCAATGAGGCATTCAGATGCTCCAGATAATCAAGTTCCTCATTTCCTAAATTGTGTTAGGTATTCCATGCTTCTACGTGAGTAACATAGGATTGGCCGAATTTCAGATATGTCTTCTTCGACGAACATACAGCAACAATAGGGTGAGAGACCGTACAAGGTTCCACCATGCACGTGCAACCTGCAAGGTCCTCTCGATTGATTTAAGTGTCCCGTTGGATGAAACTTTCTAGTATACGCACCGTTTTCGAGAATCGCAGCCCATCATGAAGGCAGCATTTTTATGATTTTGGGACATCAGTTGGTATTCTCTGGTTTCAGGAAAGCCTGATGCACATCCCGCAATATCATACCACCCACTATAACCCCTCTGTTGACGCAAAATGGATAAGTTTCCCCGTACCATTTCATAATTCCTGGAAAGTAGCGAGTGCGGATCAACCGTCAAAAGATGCGACAACTCGCCACATGAAAGAACCCTTAAGCCATTTACAGTGTAGCCTTGGAAGGGCAATTATTCCCATGTCTCCTTATCCCACGAATTCCCATGTTCCTCAGCCGCGTGTAACACAGATGCAACTGCATTGATTAATATCGTATTCAATTAAATTTGGCAAGCGATAATAAGAAGGAAATTGATCATATTCGTTATTGATCATAACATAATTCATAACTTTCATAATCCACTCTGAAAACTCTTATTATATGCCCCTTTGCAAAGGAAATGGGAAATGCCGAATATCATGATATTCATGATACATAATTATTACATCATGACGCTATATGCAAATGCATTAATCCGCAAACTTTTCTTACTAGGCTAAAAAGAAAGTTCCATTCTTTTCCCGAAATTTCTTCTAATTCTTTCTAATTTCTTCAAGAAATTTCTTTCTAACTTCTTATCTCGTCAGAGATAAGAAGTCAAAAATGCTCGAAGGATTCACATTGGAATAATAATTCCTTTCTCTCAGTGGTTTCATTATTATACTCGGGAACTGAATTTGGGACTTTACGATCACGTTCCTTCTATGGACTTCCAAGAGCCTTTCAATAATGACGCAGGTCGTTTACCACATTCTTCAGGATGCGAATCCGCACTCACCTACGGAAAATCACTTCCAAGAGGAGGAAAACCCTAATTCTTTCCGTTAATCTGACCTGGAGTGTTTCTTAATTGTTAGCCCTCACTGGAGATATGTGCGAAAGTCAATTAACTTGCCACCTGCCTACTATTCTGAAATACTTGTTTGATGCTGTTAATGCTGAATGTAGGACAGCTGGATATATTTTTTATTCAATTGGTCTATGCCTATCTAATGGTACCTATTAAGTCAGTGGACGTGAGAGGCCACATTTATTTTACATTGCAAAATTAAGATGTCCCCAAAAATGTGGGTAGTAGAGTCAGAAAATGATTAATACATTAGAGAAACATTAATCCCAGATGCTGAGAAAGGAATGTGCAAAATTTCATCATTCAAAATTGAACACAATGCTTCTTTTGCATACGCTATATATGGAATCGGGACGCCTTCAACTTACCTCACCAGGCAGATAGAAGAAAAACTCGTTATTGAACTTTTCATTAAACTATTACTCAAAATAAATGTTTTTGTTGCTTCGATTTTTTATTCTTTGGTGTCCTGCTACAACTGTGAACAAGGACGATACGCCACCTGTAAATAAAGCCTCATGGTGCCATGCACTAGAATGCAAAAGATAGGGCCATTCCGTCCTAAGTAAATCTATCGTGCAAGTCGTAATGTAAAATTTTTCTCTTGATTCGAGGCAACACATCCGTGTGGCTGACGGTGTCCTTCACGGTGGAGCGATACCTCGCTCTGAAAAAACCCCTGAAGGGCAAGGTGTGGTTCACGGAATCCCGGGCGAAGCGGGTCATCGCTCTCGTCTACATCCTCTGCTTCCTCAGCATCCTCTCGACTCCCTTCGAGTGGCGAGTCCAGGAATCCCAACTGGTCCAAGGCGATCGCGGAGAGTCGCAGATATCTCTCGTGCTCAGCAACCTCGGCGCTAATCCTGGGTACGTGACATTATTTTAATATCTTTAGTACTACTTAATCCTAAAGAAACGTTTGTACTTCACGCCTTCTCAATCCGTCAAAAATTTTTTTTTACCTAACTCTTCCTTTTCAGGGGAAACTTGCCATGAAAACTATGCTTAGTGCTGGTATCGTCCTTAAAACCCAATTATTTTAGCATAAGAATATAACTCGTTGAAATAATAACGAGATATTCGTATCTCCGTTGCGTATATGAATTAGTTATTAATATATACTAAATCTATATTCTTTTATTTGTATTTTCTATATTTTCTTATTGGATGTATTTTATGGCAAATATGTGTCATTCATCATATATTTCAGGCTGTCTTTATATCATATTTACATGGACATCAATTAGGAAGCAATTGAAAAATATATATATTGAAATGCTTTTTGGTGTTTATTTTCATGTATTTTACATATTTATTTTTATACTTATATTTTTATAGTTGATTAACTTGGACTCAACTTCATTTTGCCATCTTTGGCTACGGAAAGCTCAGGTCGCCAGGAGATATTGACCCATTCCCCAGCAGCACACTCACATTGGGACCGTGTTGCATCTAAATGCCTTCGATGTGCCCCAATATTACAACTCAATGGTGGGCCTTATTAAGCTCATCCGTCGACCCCGTTTCGGGAAGTAAACGCCTACATTTCCTCATTACCACCCTACTCCCTAGCTGGAGACCTTCCTGCCGGCTTAGCTACCCTAAATTTGCCAGGAAGTTCAGCGAACACTTCCTCCCTCGATTGTTTCATTTAAAAGCTTTCCCATCCCGTATAAATAATACAAATTGATATCTCCAAGTATAATTTTTTTCGTTATTTGGGAAGTGTATCAGGACAGATGAGATGCACTGTACGTGGTAATTCGTCATATTTGTTAAAACACCCAAATTTGAATGTACTAGCGAACCCAGACAACTTTCGAAACCAGATAAAATACATTTGTATATTTCCTCACCTCATGAAATCAGGTCTCTAGTTGATTCTCTATGATTACCAAAAATATTGTTGGATTATTTTATCTACGTTGGACGAACTTACTAAAAGGAACATCATGGCAAGTGGTAGGACCCGAACTGGATAGGCTAGCATTTTGCAGATGAAAAACCGATTTTTTGGGGGGGTCAAATGATGGACCAATTAGAAATAAGCGCTATACAAGTGAATATCGAAAGAAGAATCACGGATGATTTTCTTATGACAATCGAAGCATCTAAAATGGAATAATTGAAGCTGTTTTATGATAGTGTTCTACAATACAATTCGTCAAGTATTACTTATTCTTTCAAACGTGTCAATATAATGCCACCCCATGGAAAGTGAGGAGCATGATATCAGCGAAAAGAAAATTGAGGGGGTTCCTTAAAATGACTAATAAAAGTTAAAAAAAAAATTTTTATATTCAGAGAGCCTGGTTTCATTTCTGGCATTATTGCTTTTCAGGTTTTAAGAATTTCCTCGGCCTCTTTGCTCTAAGCAGATCCTCTTTAACCCTCTGCAGGCAAATTTACTTTTTATTTCAAAAAGCCAATTTGCTGACAAAAATTATATAAGAAATTACATTTTATAATCAAAATGGGGGAAAATGCTCCGGAAAATCTCACTACTTAAGCATACGAGGGGAGGTCAAAAAGTTTTGCAACCAAGGCACTTCAATTTGCAATGCACCATTCTTACTCTTACCATGTGAGAAGACAGATATATTTGATGGGGACTGACGAAATATCATCTTATTTGCAGATTAAGGCTAGCGTCTACACTGGCCTCCAAAAATGAGTCAATGTTCTGTAAATTTCTATTCAAAGTCGAATATCTCTGGCAATATTCACTCGAATCTCACAAAATTTTAATATGTTATTATGCAACCTCTTTTACATAAAATTTAAAAAATTCACCATGATCGATCAGTTCCCGGGCAATATGCATGTCTTCATAGTCGCCGGGGGGTGAGTCAATATTTTGGCGATTATTGGTGTTTGCGAAAAAGTAATATAAAAGCAGCAATCTCGGTCTAGTCCTACTCCATCTCATTTCTCCTTTCGTGATTTTTCTCTATCTTCCTGCATTACAATGGTCAAAGCCATGTCCAAGCGTATTCAAGAACGCATCAAGGAGCTTGCGTCTCAGCACAAATCAAGCCGAGAAATTGGCGAAATTCTTTCGATTTCTCAGTCAACTGCAGCTCGGTACATCAAGAAATATCGTACTAATGCACCCTTTGCTTCAAGAGGCCGTCCTCGTGTCCTGGACAAGCAGGACGAAAAGTACATCTGCAGACTGGCCACTACAGGAAAGTGTTCCACCGCCACCACCATCCAACGCGAGCTCAAGATCTAAATGCACCCTTTGCTTCAAGAGGCCGTCCTCGTGTCCTGGACAAGCAGGACGAAAAGTACATCTGCAGACTGGCCACTACAGGAAAGTGTTCCACCGCCACCACCATCCAACGCGAGCTCAAGATCTATGCAGGAATAGCCGTCTCTGCCAACACGATCCTGCGCATTTTGAGACGAAACCAAATCAAGTCGCGACACAAGCAAAAGCGCCCACAACTGCTGAGATCTCATCGGAATGCTCGGATGTCGTTTGAACGAGCCCATCGCTCATGGACAGAGACCGACTGGGACAAGGTCATCTGGTCTGATGAAACAAAAATATGACTTTATGCATCGGATGGCAGAGAAAGAACCTTTCGAAAATATGGCGAACCACTCCGGGATCAGGTCATGCCGAGAAGAAAGTTTGGTGGCGGCTCGATCATGGTGTGGGGCTGCATGATCTACTGTGGCGTGGGATATCTCTGTCGCATCGATGGTGGAGTCGATGCTGACATGTGCACCCACATTCTGGAAGATGAGCTCATGGAAACAATATGTTGGTACGGCATGAAAAAGGACGATATTGTCTTCCAACAAGACAACGCCTCCTGTCACACTGCATCTTGTGTAAAAGAATGGTTCCAGAGCAACAAAATCAAGGTGATGACATGGCCAGCGCAATCTCCGGACCTCAATCCTATCAAGCATTTGTGGGATCACATCAAGCGTAAGCTCAGAAATTTGCCTCCTGCTGGAAATACCGATCGACTTTGGGACCAAGTTCAAGACATCTGGAATTCCATTGACCGTGGAACATGCCTTTGTCTGGTGAGGTCGATGCCCAAACGTCTTGAAGCCGTCAGAAAGGCGAAGGGTGGCTACACAACATTTTAGTTTTTGGTATCATTGAAATTCGCCAAAATTTTGACTCATCCCACTTTGACTTTGGATAGAGTTATTTTTGTCGATAAATCTTTGATTTCCATGATTCTTTTTTAAATTAAAGCAATACAATAGGACTACAATTGACATGAATAGCAATTGATTTGCTTGAATATTGAAAGAGATATTTTGGATTAAACACGAAAACCCGACCCATTGACTCACTTTTGGAGGCCAGTGTAAACGTTTATAAGTTTCAAACTATGAAACTCATTTGAAGCATGGTCTTGAGATTTACTAACAATTTTCTATCATTTCCTGTATTTACCTCCAGGTTCTGGGGAAACGCTGCTTATGTGACAAACTCGACAAAGTCGTTTCTACAGCTAAATGCGACCGGGAAGTTGGATTTGATATACGTGAAGATATCCAGGTTGGTCGCTTTGGTATTCATTGTGGTCTCTTCATGATGTTACAATATACAGGGCGTTCCTAAATTAACTTTCCAATTTTCAAAGCTAATAAAAAAAAAACTGATATGCATAAAAATGCAATTTGCACCATCTTTAGCCTGACATTGAGTTTTTATTACATGTCAGTAGACTTCCACATCTAATTCGTTAATGGCTCGCAGTACGTCCAACTGTTATTCAATTTCAGTCCACGATCACTGCAATACGCCCTCAATCACAATGGCGATAGCGTCCGTTATCCTCGTCGGCAGTTCCACGATGTTTTCTTACTGTAGGAAAAATTTGTGGTCCCACAACTGGAGGAAATACAACCTTAAATCATATTTCAACGAGATGGGTAGCCACCCCCATGGAGTTTGCTGGTCAGGCGATTCCTGGACCAGACGTTTCCGGGACGATGGATTTTTTCGGGATGAGCTAGTTTGTGACCTCCACGTTCGCTGTACATCACCCCAATAGAGTGGGGTAAGTCAAAGACATCGTGTATCGCACACTTATTGCACATATCGCTGAAGAAGACCAGGATAACGGACACCATCGCAGTGACTGTGGACATATTGCAGCCAACCTGGACTGAAATTGATATACCAGTTGGACGTGCTCAGAGCCACTAACGGAGCAGATGTGGAATTCTAAGGATATGTCAATAAAAGCCCCTTGGGGTGAGGCCACAAGAAGGTGCAATCTGGATTTTTGAATGCCTATTAGTTATTTTTTCATTTGCATTCAAAATAAGAAAGATAATCTAGGACCACAGTGTATTTTCATTTGGGGCAGTGATTTTACTGTGTCAATACTTCTACGAAACCCAGTCATCCCATTTTGGACGTACTTAGTTGCTGTTCCTCACCTACTTGAAATAGAAGGTAACGTTTTGAAACTCATCCTCTTCTTGAATAAATCCTCACCCCTGGCCATAGCTCTTATCCTATTGGATACATGAAGTAGCGTTATCTCCCTAGAGGAGATTGGTCTTGGGTGTTTGTTGTTATAGTCCCTGGGGGAGTGACCTCTGAACAGCTAGGCCGTAGTTCACATCCCCCAGCTGGCTTGGATAATTAGGCCATTTTCATCAGAATACTTGGAGATGTTCATGTCATGCTCATTGTTTTTAGGTCCTTAGTCGGTAGGCAACACTGTCGAGGTAGTTAACATGAAAGCCTACGCGCCTAATACGCTATTCCCTTCCAGAACGTGTGTCTCGCCTCACAATGACTGTCTGTCTCCCCTGTCCTGCTTTTGTGTATGACCTTGATCAGGGAGTGATATGTGTTAGATCTGATTGTGTGGGCCTATGCTTAGTCATGTGTAATAGGTTTGGTAGATGTAGCCTATCATTCATGTGCTTAGGCCTAAGTCTAAGATTGTAAAGTGGGCAGACTGTGTGTCCAACTTGCTGTCTAGCAGTGACAATGTGTTGGTAATGATGTGCATGGATTTTGGCATGGAGTCAAAGTGTTACTGTCTGATAGTGGATTGAAAAACTTTGTTTTTCCCCCAACTTCAAAGATCTTGTTGCCTATCTTTTTGGCCTTTTGCATCTTGTGACTTTTCCTGGAACTTGAGGCCTCTTTTCTGGTTTCTGGATATTCTAGGTCTCGGATCTTAACAGCCATTGGATATTTGTAGTTCTCGGAGCATTGTTCGGATTTTCCTTGCTCAGTCTAATGTCCATTCTAGTGATTCATTAATATATGTGTAAATGTTTCTGAGTGAGAACCCACTTATTTCGTTTTCAGAACCGTTTGTCACGTGGGTGCAGGACCCCTTGGCCAAGCTACCCTTTGGCTCCCCTTTCTCATAACAAAAATCTCTATATTACAGAAATGTACAGTACTCGAAGTTAATAAGTCTTTTTAAAAGCCATCAGGCAAGCAAGTCGGGGGTGTTCTTGTCATTCGATGCCCATCTATACCTGCTTGAAATGTTTTCTACGTGTATAACAATTTCGATCGGGTTTAAATGTCAAAGTTACAATACAGCTGTACCTCTGGGTGCATCTATTTTAAGAAGCCAAAGATCTCATTTTGTCAGTTTCCAAATGACGTAACATAACGGGAAGTAATTTGACAGCAATAAGTATGCCTCTTACTCGAGGAGTTTTACCAGATTGCTCAAAACGATATTGCAAATGAAGTAATCATTATCCTAGTTAATGGAGCACCGAAGGAGCAGTTCTAATGTACAGGGTGATTATGAAGTCCCAATCTATTTTATTGTTAAGCTAAATTTTTTTAATTACAAATATGCATAATGTGCACTTCACATTGTCAATAAGGAACTAAATAAAACTGGTTATATTAAATAAAAATTCAATGTTTACATTTTTTAATACTGAAGTTCCACATAATCACCTTTCAAATCTATACGTAACTGGAATTTATCTATCGATTCCATGTACATTCAGGATCTTCCGCATGCCAGGGATTATGGTGTTAGCAGCAGCATAGATACGATCTCTTAAATCTTCAACATTGAGAACCTTTGGGCAGTAAACCTTTGACTTAAAAATGACCCCTTTGCAAAAAAATCCATATATGGCGCCAAAAAAGTAGGTGACTTTTGAATCACCCTGTATTTTGAAATCTGAGCACTTCGAAAAAAATTTGGTTAGGTTAGAGTATGGTTAAGGTTTGGTTAGATTAGGTCAGGTTAGGTTTTCCCATTTTTTGCCTTTAACCAATTTTAATGAAATTAATATTTCCGTCCTCAATTTCACTTGCAAACATGAAATGTATCTTTTTTATTCAATTGTGAAGGTATTAAAAAAGGTAGGTTAGGTTTGGTTAGATTACATAATTTTTCCGTTTTCAAATTGGACTTGGGTAATTCCATGACAAATCGCCCCAAAAAATTTTGGAAATTAACACCCGACCCTCTTCAATTTTCATGAGAATTTTTTTTTTACCTCGTTATTCGAAGAAACTCGGAAACACTGAATTTCAGCGTTATTGCATCATCAGATCAAAAGCTGCAGGGTGCTCTTAATTTGGTGATACCATCTTACCTCCGATTTTCAATTCCCTGTAACTCAGGAACGATTACTACTACTATTGATAGAACAAGGTCCTTGCTCAAGGTGTCAATTCACTCAGAAAAAGGGGCACACACGATCACTCTGGAAAAATTCTTTCAAAGGTCTTTATAGACAAACATTTTGACATTTAAACTAGGGATGAATCCCCAAATTTAAAAATCAGGAAAAAATTCAGTGGAAAGGTCTTTGCTGTCTTTGTCTTAGGAAAATTTACAAAATATTAATATTCTTTTGTATTTGAGAAAACAAAACGCCCATCCCAACAACCTATGTTGTATGGGGGCTGTTCCTCGATGCAACACAATAAGTAAGACCCTTTCTCTCCTCGATTTCGAATATTGCGTCATTTGGGTCTATTCGAATTATCAGTCCTTCCATGAAATGTCAGAATCCGAAATATTTACATTTTCCGTCTCTTGGTACATGAGATGTGAATTTCGAAGATTTAGGCCTTCAGTACCATGTGACCCCTAAGGCGAATTCCATAACTCGCAAGCAAATCATTTTAGCAAAGTTAAGACGATGATGCAGATAGACAGAGATTTTGAAAATGGAACTTTAGGTGAACCACCTAATTTCGAATCCTAATAAACGTTAATTGTGCTACTTCCATTCCAGATTCAATTGAGTGAGCTGCTGAGGTGAAGAATTAAAATTTCCAGGAATCTAGTGGTCAATGCCATCAGAAGAAAAACACTAAAAACTTGGCGCTAATATTTGTTTCTGATGCCGACAAGATATTACTGTCACTAAGGACAAATGTCCCTACTTCTTCTTCTGTATTTATGAGCAGACCCTCTTGAAGCGGTTTTCGCATCGCAGGAGGAAATGCTTGAATCACTAAAATAATTTCCCCTTTTTAATGTTCGCATCCTCTCGTGATTCTATGTGAATTGATACATTGCTCAAGGATTTGCTGTAAGTGTTTATGAGTTATACGCGAATCAAAATGGGATATACGTTGGCATCTCTAAATGATGGCTTTAATTTCTGCAGCTTATGTACTGACCCGATTGCACTGAAATTAGACTCTTCCTCATTCTGCGGAAAAGAAAGTATCATTCATAACTTCATGTAGATCTGACGTGGTTGGGTGTTAATATCCAATTTTCTGTAGATTTGTTATGGAATCACCCGATTAGATCATGAAAATAGCACAATTTAATAAATTTTGAAGCATACATAGATGTCAGGTTTAAAATAGATTATGTTTTCGCAGTGGTGTTTCATTCCGCTTATTCGCACCTATCTTATGAGCTATTACATGCCTTTCTTGCAGACGTTGCTTGCGAGTTATGGAATTTGCCTTAGGGGTCACGTGTTACTGAAGGCCTAAAGCTTCGAAATTCACATCTCATGTACCAAGAGGCGGAAAATGGAAATATTTCGGATTCTGACATTTCATGGAAGGACTGATAATTCGAATATACCCAAAGGACGCAATATCGCCGAAATCGAGGAAAGGGTCTTACTTATTGTGTTGCATCGTGGAATAGGACGTGTTGCATCGGGGAATACAACATAGGTTGTTGGGATGAGCTGATTTAAAAATTGTTTTCTCAAATGCAAAAATATTAATATTTTGTAAATTTCCCTATCGCTAGCAAAGACATGGACCTCTCCACTGAATTTTTCCCAGAATTTTAAATTTGGGGACTCATCCCTAGTTTAGAGGTCAATTTTTTGTCGATAAAGACCTTTGATAGAATTTTTCAAGAGTGATCGCGCATGCCTCTTTTTCACATCCTCGGGTGATTCCGAGTGAATTGACACCTTGAGCAAGAACCTAGCATGAATCGTTCTTGAGTTACAGGGTTTTGAAAATCGGAGGTAGGATGTTATCCCCAAATGTTGAGCACCCTGTAGTTCTTGATCTAGTGGTGCGATAAGGCTGAAATTTAGTGTTTCCGAGTTTCGTCGGATAACGAGGTCAAAGAAAAAATTTCATGAAAATCGGAGTGGGTCGGGTGTTACCCCTTGGTTGATTTGTCATGGAATTACCCACTTCCAATAAATGCATTCCGCATCGCCAAAAACTTGGAAAAAATATTATTTTGGATGTATTGATAAGTGAACCTTAGCTGGGAATAGGAAAATCTCGAAAAATGTTTAGACGTATGGTTCATGATATAAAATCTAATGATGCGATGATACATTTCACGCTTTAAAAATACAATTCAATTTTATTTTTATTTATTCATTTTTTTTGGTTGTCTGCTCTTCGCTTCCCTAAAAACTGTTGGAATTATGTATTCTGATGAAACTCATGCAATATAACTTCATTGTAACCAAACGTAACTTTTTGCATAACTTTGCATAACTCTTTCAAACCCTTTAGATTACAGGGAAAGTGATATTTTATTACTCTGCAAGGGACACCCTTTCAAATGATACATGAAAGAATGTCAAATCCAAAGAAGTATGCCAAGTTTCGTCCCTTAAACCAACAAAGACATGTGTACATATAGAGAGGACGCCCTTAGTCAAACCTAAAAATATAATTTTTTCAAATCTGAGCAATTTTGAAAGAAATAGGTTATTTTTAGGCTAGGATAAGGTAAGGTTAGCATGAATTGTATAATTTTTATCCAAATGTGAAAGGTTACAAAAAGATAGGTTAGGTTAGGTTAACTTATTTTACTGTTTGTGAATGGGAATTCCAATAAATGCCTTCCGCATAGCCAGCAACTGAAAATGAACATCGTTTTGGAAATATTCAGTCTACTTTACCTGCGAATTAAAAAATCTCTTTAAAAAAATTTAATGCGAGGTTCATTATATGCACGTTAATGCTTCATAGATAAATTGTGAGATTTTACAAAATACAATTCAATTGTACTTGTGTCGGGTCCAGACAAATGAAATGGAAAATTGGACTTGATAATTTTGGTGACCCTGTGAATAAAAGAATGGAAGGTTGTCCCAAAAGGGATGTTGGATGAATTTGAAGGTTAACTGGGCGGGATGAGAGTGGAATATTGATTGGAAGAGTTGGAGGAGGAGGGTGAAGCAATGATGCGGGAACGACTGACCTTGTTCAGAGCTTTGCGAACCAGTTCAGAAGGGAAGTTATTTAAAAAAAGAATTCAGAAAGCTAAGTGGCCCTTCAAAAAAAGATGGCAGAAGAGGAAATAGGTTTAAGCGAAGGAATTGAGAGTAAAGGATGGAGGACTTGCATTTGTAGGGCTGAGAGGAAGTAAATACGTCAGTGCCTATTTCGGGAAAAAGGCCTGAAACCATAAGGTTTTTAATTCTTGCTCCTAGTTTTGTGAGCCAAAAATGCCATTTTGCTTGTTTGATGCGACGAAATTTGAGTGCCTTTCAGCCACTGTCTTATTTGCTCTAAATCGACTGTTCCTCTTGAAATAAATACTTCCCGGTAGATCAGCTGAAGTAATTGCAAACACTGATAAAGATAGCATTAAAAAATGTAATTTACTGCAGATACTTTGACCATGAATGCTCCAGCATTGAATGAATGTTGCCCCAATGAGGGTGTACAAATGAAGACGGTCCCCGCGTTGAATAAATGTTGAAATAACATTGATGTAGCAACAGTGATACTTTCAATCCTCACCAAATGAACAATGATTCAAAGCCTCATTCCGAACACGTCGGTGTCTATTTGGGGGATGAAAATACCAGATTTGTTCAGATTTTGAATTCCTGCTTTAAGTTAAATAAGCCGAACATGCAATCCAGGGAGCCACTATCTCCGAACTTATCGGATATAACTCGATGGTGGCCCATCAAGTTCAGTTATAACACCACGAAATTGTGACGCAGAACCCTCCGAGATTTAAAGTTTTCCATCAATGCTAGTTTCTTTCGTATCTAATGCAACAGGGAAGAGTTCCTACTTTGAGAGCCTCTAGAAGTGGCCACATTTCATATCCAATATCTCACGGTTGGAAAGGTCGAATAAAAAATGAACTTTCTCAGTAGCTCATAACATTGAATCAACATTGATTAAATACTGATTCTCCGTCAGGATAATGATTCATAGTTTCGTGCTACCAGGGTCACTGATGAAGTCAGGGGGCGGGATACTTTCCTTAAAAGCAAAGAAAATTTTTTTGCCGAAATGTTACTCAGGTAGCCTTAGGTGGCATTTGTGATCCATTAGTCACAGGGCCACAAAATTCCATCGTCCAGGTGCCCCGCCCATAGGAAACAAAGGTTTGAAGTTCAGAGATGGGGGTCACATGCATCCAGCCTCACAAATACACTTTCGTTTATGCGTTTTCGTTTCGTACATGCATACATTTTTGAACAATCGATTCTTGATCGCTCTAGTCAATCGATTAATTAACTTTTAAAACACTATGTATATGTTTTTTATATTGCATGTCCTCTTTCTTCATTTACCTTTGTATTGAGACAACTCCTCCAAGTCTGATGCTCGTGAGAAGTTTTTTTTCGTTTTTCCTTGTTTGATGCTATAGACAGGCCAGGCGACATTTCAGCCATCTTCTTATCTGCCTTAAATCAAGCATTTTTCTTGATCGAAATTTATTCTGGGCGATTGGCTAAACAATTAAATGAACCCTGATGGAGTGCATAAAAAACCTAATGGTAGGCAAAAAGCACAAGGTAGACATAAAACACAAGCATTCTTTCTACCGCAGAAGAATCCATTGAATCGAGGCTGATTTAATGTTGACACTTCCACCGTGAATAGCGCAACATTGAATCCATGTTTAGTCAATGTGGGTGTATGAATGGTGGCGGTGATAACGCTGAATCAATGTTGATTCCATATGGAAGTATAAACCTTCAACAGTGATACATTCGATCCACATCAAATCAACGTTGAATCAATGTTATGTGCTACCTGGTTTCATTCTAGCCAACTACAAAATAAAACACAAATTCCATGAATTTGGGCAATGTGAATGGTTGAAAGGTGCCAGGGATTTCAAAAGTCTGGCCATGGTTCATTGGGCTAATTCTTCCAAAAAGATTAAGAGGATTTTAGACAGGAATTCTAATTGGCTGGTAGTGGACCTAAAAAAATTTCTCACTTTCGGCGCAACAGGGCGCAGGTGATTAGAGGTGATTTTGTTCTTTATTGATAAAGAGGTATTCATTGGCCTATAAGGAAATCTATGAGAAACTTTGAGCATCATTCCAAATTCACTTGATAAATTTACCTCGTCGTTAGAAGTAGTTCGCCGATCAATGATTAAGGCGTCGCAGTTTCGGCGCCTTAGTTCAGTAATTCCTAACACTGGTTTTTAGGACAACGTCCTTGACATACCCCCAAAAAGAAAAATTAAGCAGGGTGATGTCAGGTGATCACGACGGCCTAGGGGTAGGCCCATCCGGCGAGCTAGACATTTCTGGTCCAAAATTATATGGACGTTCATGCTTCAGTGCGTAGTCCTAGTATCACACAACATTGAATCAACATTGATTTAAAGTTAGTTGAACGTCCTGGTGCTGAATCAACGTTGAATCAATGTTGCTTCAATGTTATGCGATACTAGGGAGGAGCACCATCCTGTAGGAAAATTATACCTGGTGGCAGTTCTTCCAACATTTCTGGACCAGAAATGTTTGACAGGTTGCTGAATCGGAGCAGGTGAGCTTACTCATTTGCCGTCGCAATCACCTGACATCACTCCAATTAATTAATTTTTGTGCTGGTACGTCAAGGACGTCGTCTTCAGAAACAATGTGATAAATTATATATATTAACGTATTATTGAAATAAAAACTTTAGCTTGTGCTTCATCCATTGATGAAAGCCATTCATTTCTAACTGCATTACCTTACGAGAGAAAACAATTTTAAATGCACCAATCATTTAAGGACACTAAATTTTTGGAAGGGAGCTGTACTCTTAGGATAGTGAACGGTAATGGCTTTTATTTCATAGGTTCACATGGGAGGTGGAGAAAAACTACTGTTTTGGGAAGCAACCGAAAAGTATCTTCAGAAATTCTACCCAGAGGCTGGAAAAACTCACTATTCTCTTCCGTCCGGTCTCCTTCTCAAAGACGATGAATTCAAGGACCTACTTGGTTATGCAGAAAAGCTAAGGAAGGAAGAAGAGGATTTGGAAATTGTGAAACATGCTCCTGATTATGCTGCCAAGGCTATAATTTTCAGTCTAGTGAAAGAAATATGCGGCTTTGCTCCGTCTTTGGTGGTTGCTGACTACAAGTTCTGCGAGACTTTCAACCTCGGTAGAGTATATGATCGAGCCCTTTCTAAAAGTGAAAATGAAATCCTCAGGAAATTGCGTCACTTTCCTGAACTTGAGAACGATTTACATGGCATTTTCCTATCTTATCCCACTGGTCACAATGTTTATAATATTTTTTTCCAAATAAGAAGGACGTCTATGAAAGATAATGCTAAAACAGTAAAAAAGAGCATTAAATCTGCAATCAGTAAATGTGCTGGAGACATAAATGTGTTCAGAACGATGTGTGGACCCTTCTTGGATTCGACGGCGATTGTTGTTGCCTTCCCGTGTTTTCCCTTTATTGAGAGAGGTTACGCCACTAACTTGTTTGGCTGTGCATCGTGCTCACAAAAGATATTGACATATGACGATATCCAGAATCCCGTCGTTCTCAGAAGCTTCCTCCGGATGAATGGTGTAACTGCACTGCCTGAAAGAAATATTGAACCGTCTCCCAATGCTGATGAATTATTTCATAGGATATGTTCTCTATATATCTGTGCCTCTTCTTATGTTAATATGCCACGGACTAATCTGGATTATATCCGTGCTTGCAATGACCAAATCGGAAAAATGCTGTATATTTTGACTCCCGAGCAGAAGAGACTTGTGGATGAGTCTTCTTGGCTCCTCCCCATATCAGGAGGACCAGGAACAGGGAAGACTTTTGTTTTAGTGGAGAGAGCGAAGAGACTGGCGGAACTTTCTGATGCGGAAGTGTTATTGGTAAATCTTGCTGGGGGATGTCTCACAGGGATGCTACAACGTGAACTTCTAGGTGAGTAATTATCATCATCTTGTTTTAAGGAAGGAATTGCCGACCCGTGGAAGACTTCCACGAACTTCAGGTCAGCCTAGACCTGGGGTGTCAAACTGCCGTTAGTCAGTTTTGTCCGGTCCGCCAAGTCCACAACAACAGTTGATTTTGGAAGAACGCAGACTTTTCAATCTGTTAGCAATTGAAACTTTGGTGCAAAATTTTCTAATGTGGACTCAACCACCCCTGAAGGGTTCCATAATGCCCCAGCTTAACCCTTTCAGATCTGGCGTCCATTCCAATGGACATTGCATTTTCATTGTGTCTATGGTAAGTAATTGGATTCTTGTGACTTTGCACCCAATAATGGGCAAAATATGCATGGCTACATTCCATAGGAGGCCTTCTTTCACCAATCAGTTTAGTAATCTTCAGTTATTTAATTACATGTAAATATATAATATATGGTATGCTAGGGTACATCTATACAAATTATAAAAACGATAAACGAGGTCTGGCAATAAAGTTCCAGGAATGATTTTTTTGTGAGTCTGTCAATATCACAAACATTATTTTCATTCCTTGGACTTATAGATTATACTGTTATCAGTCCTCATCTTACTAGCATCTTGAATGATAATTTGGCTGGCAATTTAACAACTCAGTGCACAAGGTGTCCGTCATATTCCAAGAATGAAGCGATGCTTCATGACATTTTGTCTCAATCCGGGAATACAGCTGCTGCGATCCATCAAATGTTGCAAGAACTGTCTTGACTAGTTGTCTCGTCATACTCCAAGAATCTTGAATAGTTTTCAAAGCTATCAGCCAGTAGAAATGACATCTAATATATATAGACGATGGTGACTGACTGACGCTAATTCTAACCATGTTCTAGACATGATGAGAGGCTGAAACTTGGTACACATATAGCTGTTAGATTGCTGATTCCAGAAAAATTCCAACTTTGGGGGTAAGTGCCCTGGGGGCTCATTCCAGGGGGTCTCATTTTGTAAGCCTAGGTTTAACCCTCAGACAGACGCTTAGGCCTAAGCCATTCTCAGGCTCCCCTTGCCTTCAACAAAACGGAAGGAACGTCAATAGCTGATAGGTTTTCGATTCCAGAGAAAGTCTAACTTCGAATGCCCAACTTTGGGGGTCCATGCCCTGGGTGGCACGTTTTGGGGGGGGGGGGGNCAGGCCAGAAGTACCTGCTGGGTTACCTCTTCCAAGTGGTTATCTAGGAATTCCAAAGCCTTCCCTCAAGTTGTACGTGGGAAGAGATGGGGTGCTGTATGAAAAACGTAGGAAACTATATTTTTCTGGGCGCCAGGTTGAGAATATCTAAATTGGCGGCATGGCGCCATCTCTGGTCGATTGGTAGAACCTACGAGGGCCACTTGAAAAGTTATCTACCTGAGTATGAAAGATGAGAGGTAAAAACTACTTCAAGCAGCGTTAGATACATTGGCCTAAAAGTATTACATGGAGGGAGTAATAGGTCAGTGGCGTTTCTGCTATGTATTTCAGAAGACATTGAAAATTGTTGAAATGGACAACACCAAGCTGTAGTATCGAGCTGTTACAAAGTTCCTTACAAAATAGGGGATTTCACCACAAGTCTTTGAGCGTTTGAGAGACATGCATGGCGAAGGTTCTCCTTCCTGTTACTGACTACAATTTTGGTGCAACCAGTTTAAGTGGGGGAAACGTTTTTGGTAAACATATTTTGTGATAGATGAGGATGGCATTCAGAGAGACAACTGGATGTCCTGGATTCGGTGGTGTAATAGTAGCATCACTAACTGCCAATCAGAAGGTATGCGTACAATTCCCGACCATTCTTTGGCTTATTATTTTTTTCTGTCTTCCATGTCCCATTACTCATTCCCCCACCATAACATTATTTTTGCTTGAGTAAAACGGAGAGACATGGAAAGCTGAAACTTGGCATGGACGTACCTACCGAGATGATAAGTTCAGGAAAAATGAAACATTTTAGATTCGTGCCCTCGAGGCATATTTTTGTGAGCCGACGTTTTCAAGTATTTTTTGTCCCAGCGTATTGAGATAGTGTGAAGAGATGAAACTTGGTACATAACTACCTGTTGGGATGCAATAGAAAACTTCAGACTTTAGAAGTAAATGCCTTGAAGCCACAACTTTCAAAGGGAGATGTTTTCCACTAATTTGTTTGCATCAGTTAAACTGATGAACATAGAAAGCTGATACTTTCCATGAATGTGACATCTGAGACAAGGAGTTATATAAAAATGTTAAGTCTGGATACTTCCCATGGCGAATTTTTTCGAGGTGTGATGTTTTGAAAAAAAAAAGTTGTTGCGGCGAATTGGATAGAAATAGAAAGGTAAAACTTGGCACACGTATTAGTGACGATATTACTGAGCTGAGGGAGTATTCAGCTTTCCTGGAGCATCCTCTCCGGGCATGGCATTTCTGCGGGCCTGCTTTTCCAAGCATGTTTTTTCACCAGCGAAATGGACAAACGTATAATATTGAAACTTAATGGGCATGAATTTCACCGGGCAGACATAGAAAAGTAGCTGGCTCACGCATCACTGACGTGATGTTGATTTAAGGAAAAATTGAAATATTTTTTATGCGTCACCTCAAAACACAGCTTTTGGTTTGGTCGCTTTTCCAAATACATTTTTTTCCGCAAGCAAAAAGAGGAAACGAATCAGGCTGAAACCGTATGGCATGGAGTTCCCTGAGTCTACATTTCAGAAGAAATACAATTTTCGTCAAGAACCCATCAGGTCTCCTTTTTTCAGTCCCATTTTCCTGAATTTTTTTGATCAAACGAAACAGGGACACAAAATTAAAAACTTCCCTCAAAAGTACCTATTTGAAGGATGCGTATAGGAAAAATCCTACTTTTGTAATATGTTCCATTAGCATAGATTATAAGAGGGGAGTATTTCAAAATGTATTCTCCGCCCTTACAAAAAGGGACACATGAAAAATATTTCAAATTAGGCACTCCAGAAATCATAGAAGTAATGGTATTGATAAAAATCAAGACTTTCGTCCCCATCTGTCACGTATTTCAATGGGGGCGTACTTTGCATACGTGCTTGCCATTTCGCAAAGAATAAATGAATTAATCACTATCCAAGGTAATAGAGCGCCGAAGGCGCAACCATAGCTTTTCAACCATAGTTGAAAATAATGACTGATTCAGCCATCCCTTGGGTGAGTGGTTGGTGATGGTTGGGATTGAGGCGGATCTGAGTGTCTTCATTACTTGCTAAAGGTCTTGAAGGTCATTCAAAATTATTGGAGCATAAGAAGTAACTTTTCAATACACTTGAGCAACGTTTCATGGATTACTGCAGCAGTATTCATCGGTTTTATTCCATCCGACCAAACTTTGCATGGCTTCTTCATTTGGTCCTGGGATGGTCATAGGCAAGGTGGCGTTTCAAAATTCTGAACCCCCCCCCACCCCAGGGACCTTAATTAGTGAAGATTTGCCCAATTCACTACTTCAGACCCCTAAGGAATCAAAATGTTGGGGGCTCATGAAAAAATTTAAGTTGTAAAATGCTGCTTGCTACTGGTATGTTATGTTGATCATATAGTAAAAGCAACATGTTTTGGGTAATTTCTAGCCGGGTTTGCCAAAGAGGCAAATAACAATATTAAACCCTCAAATATGGGACGTATATAAGATTCACCTTTGCAAACACCGGGTATCTCTGTTAGTAATATATACAGGGTGGGCCAAAGTAATGGTTACACTTAGCAACAACTTACATTTAAAAAATATATCAATGAATTACGGACTTGAGGCTCCTTCCATTGAATTAGGTATCAAGTTCATTATGAAGTACAAGCTAGTACTTAGTATCTGAATCTCAACAACGGGAAAATAGATCGCAAAACCACGAAATATACCCGAAGAGACTTTCGTCACGAACCAATACACCAAGTGACTCTTCATAAATTGGGCGCATTTTCAGATTCATGCCATGGGGGCATATTTCTGGGGGATGACGTTTTCAAATGATTTGTTTGTCCTACCGAATTGAGCAGAGATAGAAAGGCGAAACTTGGCACACCAATAACTGAGGTGATAGTGAGTTCATAAAAAATTCAATTTATGAGGTGCTTATGTTTAGGGCACAGCTTTTTTGCCGCATCGCCGTTTCCAAATATATTTTTGCATCAGCAAAAAGAGGAAACGGATAAGGCTAAAACTGGATATGTATCAGGTTCTCCGGGTACTGATTTCTATAAAATTAATAATTTTTTGGTAAAACCCCTGAAATCACTTAATTCTGCAATAGGCGAATTTTCTGGAATCCTTTCTGATCCAATGAAAGAGGGAACTAAAGACATTTAAAAATTGGCTCAGAAGTACCTTTTCGATTGCTGGGTGCAGTGGAGTGAGTACTTTTAAACTAAGACACCTCATGGCAGATTATGATGAGATTTGAAGTTAGGCCCACAAGAAACAATCTTAGTAATTAATTTAATGAAAAAATATCGGTTATTTCTCTCTCGATACAGATTTCGCGAGGCACACACTTTTCATACCACCATGCCACCATGCTTTTGCAACCATTAAAATAAATTAATGAATGAATCACAATATAGGACAATGGAGCGGCGAAGGCGCGACCATAGCGAGTTTTCAAGAAGGGTAGGACCCCCCATTAACTGTTCTTCCTTCGTTTGAAACTTAACTGTATATCCGCCATGTTGAGATAATTTATATTACCTTCAATAATACAATTTTAAAGCAATATGGTATGCTAGCAAATTCAACATCAGTAATTCCTATGACATTTACTATCAACTGTAATGATTCAAAGTTTGTGTACATTATTTTGAATGACCCTGTATATTATTATTATATTGATAGCTTGTTATTGTGGTTTAAACAAGGAACTCAAAGTGTAGCCTTTCTTTTGGCCCACCCTGGATACAGAAGAGTTTCTTCTATTTACAGGATATACAGGGTGGCCCAAAAAAAAAACCGAGCGATACTTTAATCGCCGATAACTCGCGAACCGTTGAAGCTAAAGAAAAAAAAAACAGAATAAGGTTCAGTTCAAGCCCTTTCCATTGATATATGGTTTTAAGGCCGTAACACCTGCGCAACGGTCACAGCAGCCACTTGAAAAAGCATGTCCTAAA